TTATTATTATTATTATTATTATTATTACTACTACTACTACTACTACTACTACTACTATTACCACCACCACCACCTTAGGAAAAGAGAATTTAGGTTGTCCTTACCTGCTGCAAATCTCTTTTTAATAAGTGAAAAACGATACCCAGCTCCAACAAGTTCAATATCGCAGCTGGACAGAGTGCTCCCTTCGCTGGTGAACTGCACAACCAGGGGTGAAGGTTTACTTGGTCCATCAGATAATTGGAACCGTGCAAGCAAGGAACCCACCCCTTCAGACAGAAAATTCATCAAAGTACATTAATATAGAAAACTATGCAAGCCTGTACTTGTACTATGGAAGGCTCATTATTAGCAAGATACCAGTGTAGCATTTTGTTAGGTTTGGATTGCATCCTATTCCTTTCACATGACAAACTTATACTCTGAGATAACTGAAGTTTGAAAATTTCTGGTAAACTTTTTTTTGAGGGGAAGACATGGGTCACTTAAAGTACTCAGACTTTAAATCAGCTTATTGCATCAGGCTTTAAGTCATCTGAGCCACTATTTGAGAAGTTTAAACTATTCTAAATTGGAAAACGGCAGTATATTCAATTAATGCATCTTTTGGATTCACAATTTGTCCCAGATGTGCTGGCTGAATCTAAAACTTTTGTATTAGTATAACTTTTAGAACATGTTTTAGTTACATCCAAACCTATATCAAATTTTACAATCAATAAAAATTATGTAAATTTAGCTATCTTTGAGAACTATGGAATGAGCTAGAATATTCAGTATCATGGAATCAGTGCATGGTTCAAAAATAATATATCTCCTGTGATGTTATCTGTAATTCAATGAAAGTTTATTTTTCATGTCTATTTAGGCACTCACATAATATTGGCTTGTTCAATTAGGGTTCCATTTTGGTTTAATATTCACAAAATTGTTAATTCATGTTATAAAAATAATTGTTTAAATATGTAAATATGTTCTTTAATTATACAATAACAATTTGGAATCTATTATTATATAATGAACTATGGCTATATTATGCATGAAGTTTGATGTTGGAAAGAGAGTTATTTCAGACTTACAATCTTGCCTTGGAGTTCTGTTCTCCCTTTCCAGTAATGAATTGATCCTCTATGAACACAGTGGAAGGACTGATAAATGTTATTTCATGTGAATACATTTAATGATTTATTGCAAAATTTGTTTGATGTATATTGTTTGTATGTAAAATATATGTTTCTATATTTTCTATTCGAATCTATTTCTAGTTGAATGCCTTAATTACTAGTTGGACCTTGAAAAGATATGTGTGATTATTCAAGGAAAGATGAAAGGGAAGAAAGTTTTACAGGGAATATAAACTTGTATTATTACCTCCATTTTCAGATTTTTGTGAAATATCAGGAATTCTCCACAATATCCTTTGTTGTTCAGCATTCCTAAAAAAATGAAAAAATTGCTCAAGATAAAGAACAATGAGGAACCCAGTGAAATTCTAGAATACACAGTAGGCAAATTTAATGTCACCCATCTAACTCAATTCTATTTATGTCATATCTTTAGTTAATCTTTGCCTGAATAAGAGGATAGGGTAGAGCTATGCAAAATGTTTTGAATGTGAAATGTTTCAAGCTTGAAACTTGATTGTTCTAAGTATTCCGGAAGTGTTCCATGCTCAAAATGGCCCTGTTTCAAACTCAAAATAGAGCTGTTTTCATCTTAAAATATGTCCAGAATGATCAGAGCTACTTATTTAAAACTTAAAACATTTGAACTGTTTAGGAAGCCCATATTCTAAAATGAGTATGTTACACTTCTATACAAATTATTTCCTGTATTTTAAGCTTAATATTAAAATGTTGGATTAAGAATTCAGGAAGTTCCATACCCATTTGCATTCTGTGCATACTATATATCTGAATCAATAACTCCTAATATAAATAGTACCATAGCAGATATGACAATAGACCCATTCTTGCCTATTACTTTCCTGCAATTAAGCCTACAGTGAGATTTGCCAAGAGAAATCTAAAAAGGAAAGAGATGGATAGGCTGATATTCCCTTCGGTTTCCACCCTGGCAAATCCTATCTTATTTCTCTGCAATTTGTCTGCTAATGTGTTTTTTTCCCTTGCTGAGGCATTGAGGGAAGCATTTTTAAAACAGAGACCTGGAAGAAGACTCATCACTGTTACTAACTGTAAACTCTATAAAGCTGGGGAGGAATTTACAAATTCATATTTTTTAAAAATGGGGTTACCATTGGAACCTCTAATTTGGCCCTAAGTTGCCTCATTTACCAACACTGGTGATAATCAAAGTTAAATTATCGTTACTACAGCAGGCAGAAACCCAGCCCCATGTTGCTGAACTGGAGTTCCCAGGAGCCCCAGCCAACAGGCCTAGTCGCAGGATGCTAGGGGTTGCATTTCACCAAATCATGGTTCTGCATCATTCAAATCTAAGGAATGGGAATATCTTGCTTGCTATCTGTACTAAATATTAGGGCAGTCTTCTCATATTGAAGCCTTTTAGAAATATTTGGCTATAGTTCCCATCATTCCTAACTCACAGGCATTTGGACAGATAGGAAAAGTTATATATTTAACACACCTGGAGACCACCAAGTAGGGGACAGCTTTCTCCAAGCGGAGAAAATACTGGTTTTATGATTAAGAATTTGGTGGGAAAAAGCCTATTAACCTAGCTCAGACTTCACTTAGCATTAGTTAGCCATTTAAACCTGGTGATACTTGCTGATGAAATCACTAAGATCACTAAGTGATCTTCGCTTTTAAAATCTTCAGACTTTGATGATGAACATATAAGGCATCACTTCTGAACGTTTGTCCCCCTTTTCATATAAATGTTACATAATTTGTTCTCCTAAGCTTTGCCATATTTAGAGAAAAAAGACATCAGTTTGCTTTTGTAAGATTCTTGCTGTATTTACAAAAAAGGGACTTTCCTGTTTTCTCTTAATTACATTATTTATCCATACAGCAGATACCTACTATTTCTAGACATAGGGGTTATTCAAAAATGAGGAAGCAACTCAACAAGGTAAAGTCCTAAGCAGGACATATGAGTCTCAGGATTTCATGTAATAAGGAAGCACTGATTTATATCCAAATGCAGGGATTTCAGAACAAAGGCCTTTTAAGTTACTACAAGTGCAGAATAAGTGATTTTAAGTGTCCCTTCTATCCCCCCAGCATGCTGACTTGCAGTATATATAATACAGTATTATGAAAGTGTACTCGCTTAGTCTTAGTCTGTCCTGTTTGTTTTAACTGCAGCATTGTAATTTAGCAGTATTTTAAACTTGTAATGTGATGACAGCAATCTATTGACTCATTTACATATAAATTAAGCTAAGTTGCATTATTACCTCATCTGGTGTGGAGTACTGAATAATGTTGAACTGGCAGTGGGGGGCGGGATTCTGGTTCAAATCTCCCTCAGCCACAGAAGATCACTGCCTGACTTTGCACAGTCACGGTAAACCCAACCTATCTCACAGAATTGTTGTGGGGGAAATGGGAGGAGGGAGAGCTACATATTCTGCCTTAAACTCCTGAAGGGAAGGTAGGATATAATAGAACAAGTTCTCATAAAGGTGTCTTGTGTTGAAGGTATCGGTTTTGCCTTATCAGGAAATATTGGAGCCTCTGGCCAAAGATTTCAGTAGACTGGAAACCAGTAGGTGTAGTTGCATAAAATTTTCCACTATAAAGCATCTTTCAATAGGCTGTGCATGCTCTGAGCATGATTTGGAAAAAGTGCCTCAGATCTCACACAAGCATGAGCATGGCATCTCGTTTTTATTCATTAAAGCAGTGTTTCTTAAACTTTTTCTCTCAGGACCCTTTCCCACTTTTAAAAATTATGGAGGATCCCAAAAGACCTTTTGTTTGTATAGGTTATATTTATTCATTTACTGTACTAAAAATTAAAATTGACACATTCACTGCTGCTACCACTTCTCATGATTGTTTGATGGGATTTTAATATGGTATTATTTTTCAACATAGGCCAGCAAATAATTTTTATTTCACGGACCTCTGAGAGGGTCTTGGAGGACTCCTGGGAGTCCTCGGACCACGCTTTGAGAAACACTGCATTAAAGCAACCATGCATCTTTGAGACTTCTGCACAAATCTGAAAAAAAGAGGTGGCTGTTTAAAAGTTGCCTTACGGAGTTGACTCACTGAAGGGGTAGCATTCCCCCCCCCCCCGCTTGTGGAGAAGCCTGAAAAAAGGCATGGCTGCACTAATGAACTGCAGAGAGATGCTGCATTTGCACAAAGTCTGAAGCACTTAATAATTTATTAAATGTATATGCCACCCAATCCCTATTCAGTGGGTGGCTGGGGAATTCTGGGAGTTGAAGTCCATACGTCTTAAAGTTCCCAAGGTTGAGAAACACTGTCCTAGTGACTCTGGGCAGTTTACAATTCTAAAAAAAACATTTAAAACAAGTAATGCAAACAACACATCAAACACATAAACCATCCCCCCCAAAAGGAACAGAGTTATCCTACCTCTCTTTCTCATCACACACAAAAGTATACTTGAAAAGCTAAATACTTATACAAAGTTGTGCCAAGGTTTTAATAAGCATATGGCTCTTAATGGCTATACAGTAGTTTGCTAATACTATTTCAGTCTCTCCAAAGATTTTGCTTAAGCTCAGTTACCAAGAAAGTACATTGATGGAATAAGGAAGGATCAAGGACCACCTCTGGTTCATACCAAATAGCAGGTGGAAGCACAGCTTGTAGTTTTGTCACTCCACCATCAATGGGAACAAGGAACTGCACGTTGTTTAAAGCTACTGGTGTAGTCATTGCCTCTATATTATATTTGTAGTCAATGCGTAAGTCTGTGCTCGTAGGTTCACACCGCCAGTTCACTGCAAGATTCAGTGGAGTAGATTGAATACCCTGGGCTGATACCTTGTAAGACAGAAAGAACATTTAGTATCTGTAAGAGCCAACAGAGAGAGAGAGAAAAAAAGAGTGAAAAAATATCTAACATTTTCATGAACACCTGAAAGGTTTATGATCAAGCTGTGACTATAGACTCTGTATTAGGTTCCCTTTCTGCAAGATTAGAAAGGAGCTTATACCTGGTATTTAAGCATATCCACATTATAGTATGTTGCTTGTGGTTTCTGTTCAGACACTTTCTTCAAGTGAGCCATCAAATTTGGCATGTTTACCCAGAACTCCTTTGTGTTGGCATCGGCTTGGGTGCTGTCACTGCATTCATTTAAAACAGGAGGAACACATGCCATTTTCATCAATATAAAATATTTGTTAGTTATGTATTTAAAATTATACTTAATTCCAGCTGTACAATTTCTCTTTAGGTCAGGGGAGATAAATGCCACAATGTGTGATCCAGTGGTATAAAGAAGATGGGCCTATGTCACAGACTCTTGAGGGGAGAGACTGTTTGTTTTCTTCTGGGTTTTGAAATGGGGTTCATGCTTTTTGAAAACTAGATTTTAACTTATCCTAAGTCTTACTTACTTACTCCCTAGAGCCAGTTTGGTCTAGTAGCCTTTTCAAAGAACAGCAGAAGAAAAAGGGTTAAATACAACTTAAAAATCAATAAATAAATCAGTGATTTAAGTCATAAACATTTCTCATGCAAAAGTTGCACAAATTACTATTTCTTGTAAATTTATAAATATTTTTACAATGATATTTACCAGCAAAGAAGTTGAGGATTTGGCAAAACATGTTCCAATCTGTTGTAATTTGTCACACGAAATGTTAGAACAGCAGGAGCGGGATTATTGGCAAAATGTCTAGTAATTCCCGCAGGAAATGACAGCACCATTTCTCCAGTAATCTTTACTATGCATCTTCAAAATCAAAAGAAAGGCAGACAGAGGAAAAGAGCACACAAGTTATGCACAACTACCCAATTTTGAATCAAATCATATGTATATGTAATTTGATATCTTATTTTCAGCATATTCTATTCCACCTTCAAGCAGCCATATATAATTAATTTATCATGCACTCATTTGGGACCATGAAAAGTGGTGTTCAAACAAAAAATGTTTGTGATATCGTTAAAAAGAATGCAAGGACTTCAAATATGTCAGAAATAGAAACTGAGTTATGTCCACAATTTTCATCTTTAAAACTTGTCTACTACAAAGTGTTTTAGAAAGCAACTTTTAGAAAGCAAGTTCAATGGGTAGGAAAAATGTATGAGGCTATACTCTTTGATTTATTATGTTCCTCTGAATTACATAGCTACCCACCTTAGCATGATGTATTTATGCTGATTTTAGTGATTCTGAAAATGTGGTACAAAATTTAGGAAACTATCTCTGGGTTGAATCTAGAGTTGCATAGAGTAGAATGTCATTAAATATACTTTTGAGGGCAGAAGACAGAAGGAGAAATATGTCACTTATTGACCCCTTCCACTTGCTACTCCTACGCATTATAAATTTGCTCTGGAAGATTTTCTGGAGTCTCTGATAGGGGGGGGGGGGGGGGTAAGAGAAAATCTCTAGAACTGTTCATTCTCTCCTTCCACTCATGGGGAACTTCTATAAAGTATATTAGATCCTAATCTGTCATCTCTGGACATTGTTATTGTATATTAAGAATTCTGACACCACGGGTAGCATTAGAAAGAATATAAACACCAATGTCCCATTACCATTCCACATTTATTCACCAACATATGTGTCAGCTGAAAGTAAATATTTTCTCTAGATTTGTTGTTATTTGTTAACACACACTATTGCAGAGGAAATGGATAGTATAAGACCAGTCCTGAATTGCCAACTAAATGGGAAAAGGAGAACAAATGGTACGACACTTACTTGTTAGGATCAGCTCCTTTGAAGTAGGCATTAACAGTTTCGGTGAAAGCTGCAGCTACAGGGAGAGTGTCTTGTGCACCCATTGTTAATGGACTGGGTCCTCGAGAAGAGCCTGCAACCAATGAAACCCAGACAGTCTTTCTCTCACTGAAACCTTTTTTACTTCCTTCAAATCAACATTAAAAAAGATAGAGGTGGAATTGAAAGGTAAAAGCAAACTAGTTGTTTTATCAAAGAAGCAGTCTACAGATACAGACAATACTTACACATTTCTTTAAACAGCAAAAAACAATGTGATTTAAACAATCAAAACGAGGAATGTTTGACTGAAACATTTTAATTAAAACAACGTTTTTTGTGTGGCTGTACAGCATGACTATGAACATTTGGGCCATTCATTTGAGGATCCATGTAATTGCCGTCTAGTGGTAGTTTAATTTAAGATCATAATGATCTACTTATAATGAAGAGTAGAATAGTAAAGCAGTGTTGCTTAAAGGACAATGTATATGGAGGAAAAAAGGGGGAGTCAACAAGAAAAAACTGAAGGGACAAATTGTGTTGATGGCTCAATGTGATTAGCCCAAGAAGACTGGGTGTTTAACTGACCTGATTATGATGTTGCTAAACATGTGAGAATGACAGAAGAAGAACAGGAGGGAACCTTGGCTGGAAGGAGGAACAACCACACTAAGAAAGGTAGCCTTTATTGCCCCTCCTTCCCCCTCCCCCAATTTAATACAAGTGCAGCAGCAAAGAGGCTGAGTTTAGTATATGAGTTCTCTGAAAAAGGGAGAATATATTCCGGGGGAAGTTACTTTGAGGCCTGCAATTGTGCTGGTGTTTGCTATGGTTAGTTTTTGGTTCTGTGAATCTCCGAAATAGCTTGAGAGACATAAAGAGCTCAGAGCTGCCTTCAGCAATCTAGTGTTATTCAGTTTATGGCTAGAAATCTAGAAATTGAAGTCCTAGCATATCTGGAGGGTTTCCAGTTTGGGAAAAGCTGATTAAAGAATTACTCATGTATATTATACTAAAAGGACATGTATCAGAAGCATTATACATATTGTGGAACTTTTTAGTAATAGTGTCTAAGCTATAAGCAATTGTTGGCTCCTAATTCTGGGAGTTGAAGTCCACTCGTCTTAAAGGTGCCAAGGTTGAGAAACACTGGTTTAAACTAAAGCTAGAGGAAGAAGATGTGATGCTTTCTCTAGGTTGAGTTCAGTTAAATTGACATGGCAGAGAAATAGACTTGAATATATTATCCAGTTGTGAGCAGGTGTTTTCTGTGGAAGAGACCACATTTAGTAGTCAAAGAGCTTCGAGATTCAACCCAATATTTAATTGCTCAAGACATTTTAAAAACTATAATAAACTTTAGATTTCAGCAAGCCTAGGCTGCACAGAAAAATGAAAAATCTATATGAATGCCTATAAGAATGAAGAATAAAGCAAGATTGCTCATTTTTCATAGGAATAACTCTTCTCTACAAGTTGGAAATGCTTCATGCTAGCTACCTATTAGAGTTGAGCATCAGATAGCGCTGAGGAGTACTGAGCACAAAAGGGATGCACAGATTATACCTGCGGTTGTGTGAACAGGCCACAGGTATCTCTCAAAGCAACCCTCCAAAATCTGGAAACTATGAATCCTTCAATTTTACACAGTAATGCAGAAAGGCAGTCACTGAAAGCTTTCTAGATCACCATCTGTTTGACAAGCATACAGTTTAAATGAATTCAGAATACTTATTTTTCTTTACCGTTCTCAGATCTATAGGTAGTCCTTGCTTAAGGACCCTAATCAGGATTGGAATTTCCATGGCTAACCAAAGTGGTCATTAGGTGAAACATCACGTGACCGCACCACTTACTAATGGCAGTTCTGGTAGTCCTGGTTGTGGTCGTTTGGCGAGAACCGCACCATCCTTAGGTGAGGATCTCACACTTCTCCTGCCCTGCTGCGCTCACCTCTGCTTCAACTCCCCCCCACCTATCTGCCCCCTATTTCTGCCCTTTTGGCTGCTCTGCAGTCCATTGCCACCGCTTACCCCTGCTGCCCCCCACCGGCCCCTGCTGCCTTTTGTCATCTTCTTCCTCCTATTGTTGACGAAGTATGCCCAGCTGAGGCAGTTGCTGGTCCTTCATGAGGCCTTCACAAGGCTTCATGAGGTCTCCCCAGGTCTCCTTGAGACCTTATGAGGCCTCCGTGACACCATGTGACACCTTGGGGAGGCCTTGTGAGACTTTGTGAAGGGCCAGCAGCTGCCTTGACCAGGCACACCTTGTCAGCAGTTGGAGGAAGGAGACAGTGAAGGTGAGCAGGGGCTGGCAGGGGGCGGTGTTGTTCAGAATAGCCAAAAGATAGGGGGAGATAGGCAGGTGAGGGGAGTTGAAGTGCACACTGTGGTTGTAAATGCGGGAGGGCTGCCAAGCACCCAAATTTTGATCACATGACTACGGTGGCACTGCAACAGCCATAACTTCGAGAACTGGCCATAATACCATTCATTCAGTGCCATCATAACTTTGAGCGGTTGCTGAATGAATGGTAGTT